TGAAATCCCCTGCAGCTCTCAGAGCTGACTCCACTGGGAAGGATCGAATATAGCAAAACACCTGCGACTGTGAGGGTTAGAACCTCTGCCTTCCTGCCATCCTGCTATCTGGTCTCTTGAAAGCCTTCTGCCATCATCCTTCCTGCAATCATGAGCCATAGAGCTGCAGCATAACTAGGTTTGTCATGTATCTCGATATAAGACCCAATCAACTTGAGGCCCCCGCCGATCAGAATTACGCTCAACTATAGAAACGGCGTGTCCTCCAGACGCAACTAGTTCCAGGTGCAAACCTGGAACAAACTGGTTGAAAGTAGCTCAAGATCGGCCATGAGAAGCTGTGATTAAGTTTAGCCGGCTAAACTGATCCCTCAGCTTCTCCCTAGCTGCTGCTGATAAAAACCTCTCCTGAAAAGCATTTACAAATGCCTCCCAAGTACCACCAACACGAGCTTTCTCGTACTTCCACCATTGACCCGCATCTCCCTTCAGTTGGAAGGATGCCAAGGTCACTTTCAGTGCTCCGTCCTCGATGCCAAGCATCTTGAATGTCTTACTCATTTGCTCTAGCCACTCATCAGCCTTCAGTGGCTCCTTCGGATCCCCGATAAACTCATCCGGATTAGACCGGAAGAACTCCCTCTTCAAGAATGAAGGCCCTGCCTCAGCGGCCTGATTCCCAGCTCTAAGAATACCTAAAGCTCCTGCTATCTCTCTGGTCAAGGCACCCATAGCCTGCTGACCTACTGGCTCGGCCACAGTGGCCGGCCCAACTCCCTCCTGCACTGCCGGAATGTCACATAGCCTGCTGACCCACTGGCTCGGCCACATTGGCCTGACCAACTCCCTCCTGCACTGCCGGAATCCCACCCTGTGACGGTGCTTCCTGCCTCGCAGGTCTACCACGCCTAGCACCCCTTCCTCGTCCTGACATCCTAATAAAGGTAACACAGAACATTAGCACATTCAGAAATGTGCCGAAACTAAACACTCATGTCCTAATGCATGGACAACTGTAATTCACTCCACATAAGCACATAAGCACTTACGAATTTCATTTCCGGATAATGATAGTCCCGAGGCGTTACTAGAGTTCCGGTTAGAAACAGCATTGATCAAGTGCTTTTCCAACAAGACTCCCAGAAACCCAAGGATCCAATCAACATCCAAGAAATTAAATCCCATACCTACATAGTCACATAAGCATGTTATCAGGTAAGCACATAGCATATGATACTACATCTAGGTCTCTATCAAGCGAGACAAACCCACTGTGATCCCAATCACTTCCCACATACCTAAAGTATTCGAACCCGGTACGCTCTGATACCAAGTTGTAACGCTCTCAAAATAAAAGCATTAAACCTATTAAATAAGACATGCATTGATATTCAAAAGTTCCACATTCTTCCATTACATCAGAATTTTTATTCATTACAGTTCCATTACATAAGTATTACATGTTAACATCAAAACAAAATGCCTTACAGGCTTACAGCTTTCCAAGTTAACACTTGGTTACAAACAAACAGTACTAACTCGTTTACACAAAAAGCCCTTGGCTTGAAGTTACATGTAATACATCAAACGTAAAACGACAAAACATGTCCGCCTCTAGCCTCCCAAGCTATGTTCTTGGAGGTGGCATGCTTCCTGCACCTGAAAATGATATTCCCATATAGGGTGAGCCACAGCCCAGTAGAAATATACTAAACCAACCATGAACAATGACTAAAATATTAGCAATTGATAGATGGCTAACACAGATACATTCACATAAATTACACATTTATGTCATACAACTTACGAGTCCAAGTTACCTTTCATTTTTCCCTTTTGCAACAGATAAGCATGCTAGCTCTATCATCATTTCAACAGATATGTATAAAAACAATATCCACATTCCCAGATAAGCATATGAGCTATATCCACATTCTACACAGATATGTATAACCACAATATCCACAGATAAGCGTATAAGCTATATCCACACTTCGAGCTGTGTCTACGGAGTTCATCCCCTATCTTCTCCCATCACTAACCGGTTTAGAGGTACATCCCCTATCTTCCCCTAAACCGCGGAGTACATCATCTATCTCCTCCTCTACACATAACGTATACAAACACATTGGTTCTATATACAAACACACAATACAAACAATTAATGTATTCTATCAACCGTCAAATTCTATGACACGTTCCATTGATTAGTTTTCGTTTGCCTAATCATGATGCATTGTCTACAACAATCACGACTATCCTCCACCGATAGCCCAAAGCAGTTATTTCTAAACAGAAAATAAATGCACAAATGGATATTCAATCAACATTTCATTTTCTCATTTCTCGCCATTAATTATCCCAATTAATCAATAATGTAAATAGGTCATTATCCATAATTACCAATTCAACCCTTAGGTCCCATTTTCATCAATGATTTAACATTCATTCAATTTCTCTATGCCAAACATGCATCCAGGTTTATTATGAATAAAAGGTATGTGAACCTCAGGAGATTCCACCAGTTTACCAATATTTGGATAAGAGGTATGTGAACCTCAGGAGATTCCACCAGTTTACCAATATTTGGATAAGAGGTATGTGAACCTCAGGAGATTCCACCAGTTTACCAATATTTGGATAAGAGGTATGTGAACCTCAGGAGATTCCACCAGTTTACCAATATTTGGATAAGAGGTATGTGAACCTCAGGAGATTCCACCAGTTTACCAATATTTGGATAAGAGGTATGTGAACCTCAGGAGATTCCACCAGTTTACCAATATTTGGATAAGAGGTATGTGAACCTCAGGAGATTCCACCAGTTTACCAATATTTGGATAAGAGGTATGTGAACCTCAGGAGATTCCACCAGTTTACCAATATTTGGATAAGAGGTATGTGAACCTCAGGAGATTCCACCAGTTTACCAATATTTGGATAAGAGGTATGTGAACCTCAGGAGATTCCACCAGTTTACCAATATTTGGATAAGAGGTATGTGAACCTCAGGAGATTCCACCAGTTTACCAATATTTGGATAAGAGGTATGTGAACCTCAGGAGATTCCACCAGTTTACCAATATTTGGATAAGAGGTATGTGAACCTCAGGAGATTCCACCAGTTTACCAATATTTGGATAAGAGGTATGTGAACCTCAGGAGATTCCACCAGTTTACCAATATTTGGATAAGAGGTATGTGAACCTCAGGAGATTCCACCAGTTTACCAATATTTGGATAAGAGGTATGTGAACCTCAGGAGATTCCACCAGTTTACCAATATTTGGATAAGAGGTATGTGAACCTCAGGAGATTCCACCAGTTTACCAATATTTGGATAAGAGGTATGTGAACCTCAGGAGATTCCACCAGTTTACCAATATTTGGATAAGAGGTATGTGAACCTCAGGAGATTCCACCAGTTTACCAATATTTGGATAAGAGGTATGTGAACCTCAGGAGATTCCACCAGTTTACCAATATTTGGATAAGAGGTATGTGAACCTCAGGAGATTCCAACAGTTTACCATTATGAAAATCTAGATTGTAGTAGATATGCGAAAAAATCAATCATCCCATACAAGCTTCAGAACTGACGACAAGTAGAGGAAGGTAGTCATACCTTTCTTCAATTTCCACTATGCTTGCCTTCAATATGTCCTGATTTTTCAAAAGACTCTTGTTGATCTACATGCAGAAGGAAACAGCTTACAAATTTTCTTCTCATGAACTAAAACATCTACTTGTCAATTTGTATAATAACTAACTATAGACAAAGATTCTCAAACTCACTTACAATCAACAAAGAAAAATACCTCATCAAAAAAACTCTTCTCTTGATCACATTTATCCAGCTTGGCTTGCATCTTCTGCAGTTTCTGATTGCCACTGGCAGCCTTCTCAATGGCTTCAGATATTTCCCTTTCAGCTTCTTCTTCAACTTCTCTCAGTAAAGACTCAAAATACTAGGAGCAAAGGAGAGGCTATTATTACGATAAACAGAGAAAAATTCTCCAAAACTATCTGCCCCTACCAAGAAATCGTAATAGACTAGGAAAAGAAAACACCAGAAAATCAAACTCCAGGGACACCTTAAAAGTTGGTAATGTCAACTTGAATGCCAAGCTGAAGCACAAAATTCAATCCCAACTCATATTAGGTTATATAAATCAAAGAATGGACTTACTATTTTTTGGTCCTCAAGCTGGGTAGTAAGAAGTTCACTGTACTCATTGACAATCTGCTGATAAAGTTTAAAATGAGCATTGCAGATTAAAGGCAAAATAACGTTAACCGGAAAATAAAATAAAATAAAATAAAAATGAGAGAATGAATTAAACATGAAAAACAAGAGTCAAACGAAGCAAATGATAAATAAAAGCATTACATTTCAACTTTACTGTTCAATAGAGTCTCACTAAATCCAGTATCTACACTGCAGTTGCAACTACCACAACCATCCCAAGAACACACACCCAGGTTGAAATGCCATCAACAAAGAACCACCAAGCTCTTCAAAACTCATAACATATCATGATCAAACATTCTTAAACAACTTACATTTACTTAGTAAGCATTTTCACTCGAAGATAGAGTAAACTAAACACGTACACCCTCACGGAAATAAATACTCGACTCTCATGTGTTTGAAGGGTATGTGTTACGCTCAAATTCATTCCAAAGGGAATGATCTACCATAGGCTTGCATATCTTCTCATTCTCTACCACTGGGATCACATGCATAACACGAATCAAAAGGACTTTTCAAGGGTTGTAACAGGGTTTACAATCAAGGCAGGAAATATTTGGGAGTGTTGCTCAAAAGGCCATCGAAACTAGTGGAGCAAAAACGAATTAACTCAAGCTCGGATGTATAAGACATGTAAAACCAATCACTCCATTCAGCAGCTTCTTCAATTTGGCTTGAAAGCATTTAAAGCATGTAAAACTCCCATATTGAAAAAGAGATCGTTCAAAAAGAACACTTTTCGTTTGCAGCAGGGAACGATCCTTCGCAGCAGCTCCCACCTTGTATATATCATGTATAAACAGACCCCTTTATTGGAATTTTAGGAGGGATTTTGAACATGGACAGTTTGTAATATCAGAAACAATTTCCTCCATCACTTCCTTTCCCTTTTTTTTCTTCTTTTGACAAACACACGGGTTAAGAATGAGAACATGTTCCATTTCTCCAGTCATAGCCATACCACAAATTCAGACACCCCCTACACTTATAACTTGCACACCGGCATATATCATAATGATGAACAATGCTCCACTAGCTTTATGGCTTGGGTACAGACGTTGTTTTTTTTTTGTTTCGGGTTTAAAATTTGTAACGTGGGTTCACAATAAACAAAAAATAAAATAAAATAAAATAAGGCTCAAAGGGGTTCAACAAAGGGAAAAATTAATTACAAGGTAGGCTATTTGGCTTATGTAGCTTATAACAAAGAGAGCCTCAATCATGTTTATGTACGCATGTGTCAATATGACCTCGAAGAGAATCAAGGCAAGTTCTAGAGAAACAAATACATGGAAAAATATCCCTCATGAAAGAACATAGTGAGACTGATATGGTTGCGTCACTTTAAAGGCTCAAAATCTCACCGGCTTTTGTCTACCAAATTTAGTCACTACCATTCTCAAGGAAAATAACTAGACTAATTAATTCTAAGCTGGAAGATTACTTATTCAATCATGTTATGAATTGTTGAAGCTTAATTGAATATTGCTCATGACATACACAACCAAAAAAAAAAAATGTTGAAAACCATAAAAACAAAAAGAAAAACTCTTTTTTTTTTTAAAAAAAAAAAAAAATTAAAACAACCTAAATCCCCTCCCCCACACTTCAAACTTACATTGTCCCCAATGTAAGGTGATATGCAAAGAAAAGGCAAAAATAATCAAAATATAAATGCGAAAATAAGAAAACAAACTCCCCTTGGGTTCCTCCCAAGCAGTGCCTTTTTGCTTTAATTAGTATAAATTGGATCCTCAAGGTCCAATTGTTCCACATTCTGTACTTGGAAGCCTTCATAGAAAGTCTTAAGTCTATGGCCATTCACCTTGAACACTTTGGAAGTTGCTAAACTTTGAATTTCAACTGCACCATGAGGAAAAACATTAGTAACTACAAAAGGTCCAATCCAACGAGAACGTAACTTACCTGGAAACAAACGAAGCCGTGAATGGTATAGAAGAACTTTTTGACCAACATTAAACACCTTCCTAGTGATCATTCTATCGTGAAAAGCCTTTGTCTTTTCCTTGTAAATCATTGCATTCTCATAGGCATCATCGCGAATTTCCTCTAACTCTTGTAGTTGCAACTTCCTGTGTTCTCCACTTTCATCCATTTTCATGTTGAAACTCTTAATAGCCCAATAAGCCGTGTGTTCTAACTCAACTGGGAGGTGCCATGGTTTCCCAAACACCAAACGATAAGGTGACATACCAATGGGCGTTTTATATGCACTCCTATACGCCTACAAAGCGTCATCCAGGCGCAAACTCCAATCTTTTCTTGTTGGATTGACGGTCTTTTCAATGATGGACTTGATCTCTCGATTTGACACTTCCGCTTGTCCACTAGTTTGCGGTTGATAGGCAGTTGACACCTTGTGGGTCACATGATACTTTCTTAGCAAAGACTCCACAGTTCGATTGCAAAAGTGAGTGCCTCGATCACTTATTAGAGCTCGTGGAATTCCAAACCTAGAGAATATGTTAGACTTGATAAACTCTGTAACAACTTTTGAATCATCAGTCCTGGTAGCTTTAGCTTTTACCCATTTCGAGACATAATCAACAGCAAGCAAAATATAAACATAACCGAAAGAGACAGAGAACGGTCCCATGAAATCAACGCCCAAACATCAAAAATTTCACAAAATAGTATGGGGATTTTTGGCATCTCATTCCTTTGGGATATATTACCTGTCTTTTGACAAGGATCGCACGACTTACAAAAAGAATATGAATCTCGGAATAAAGACGGCCAATAGAAACCACATTCTAGCACTTTTCTCGCTGTCCTCTTAGCTCC